CACGACATAGGGAATGGAGTACATGCGTCTGATTAGCAGAGTCCAGGTCAAGTATCCATCCGTTGTTGCAAGGTTATCTGACATTTTCAGTTCCCATCATGAGATGGGCTCTTTACAGGCACCAGAATTATCTAGATAGAAGATTTGGATGCTGTGTGGACATTTTAGTTTGGGAAGACATTTAGACAAAGATTCAAACGCAATTGGTGGAGTTGGGGGACCCCCCTGAAATCATTGGTTAGGAATTGGGGGGAAGGGGCACCTGGCTGCCTAGGTCAGTTAAGTGTCCAACTCTTGATTTCAGACCAGGTCATGATCTCACGGTTCATGAGTTCGGGCCCCTGTATTGGGCTCTGTGCTGACAGTGTGGATCCTGCTTGGGATTCTCTCTCCCTCCCTCCCCCTTGGTGCTAGTACCTATCTCTCTCTCTCAAACTAAATACACTTTTAAAAAAAAGAGGGAAAACAGCCAAAGAAGGGTAAATTACTAATCAAGCAATTGCCATGGGGGTAAGTATAATTCCTCAGAGGGGGGTAGGATGTGGGGCAACTGGATGGGGCTTAATTCCCCCATCACATCCCCAGGTGTGGTCTGAGTGGGCTTTGGCAGCCAGAGGAGACCTTCTGGCAAACAAATGCAGGGTCTGGCAGTAAAAACTTGGGCAGGTGTGAACTGAAAAGGTGAGGGAGGGCATGGGCTGCATGTTTGCAGCCAAGGTCAGCTAGGAACTGCTGAGCATTGAACATACAACAGCAGAAAAGAGAGAAACAAGCATTCCTGGCTTCCCTAAGCTGGTGCTCTTGAGATGCAGACAGGTGAACAGGCAAGGGTGGGGGGCACAGCAATAATACAGCAGCCTTGGAAGCTAGGGCTGGACCTCTGGCCTGTAAGACCCATGAGGATGGGGACAGAACCCTACTCATTTTTGAATCCCGATTGCCTGGAATGCTATCTATTCAATGTATGTTTTCTGGCTCAATAATGAACTGCTGGGCACAGCTCTGGGATGTTACATTCATTGTTTTGGTCTCTCACTCTAACCCAACAAGGTAGGTGTGTCACCATTTACATGGAAGAAAGTTAAGGAACTCATAATTATTCCTGTCTCAGCTTTGAGGTAACGACACCAAACAGTTTGCCTGTCCAGCAGGCCCCATTTCCAAGCCTGGGCTCTCCCTATCAGAGAACTGACCTTCTGGGTTGCAAATGGTAACTCTTTGTTGTATATTCCCAGAAGCAGAGTTCTTTGGGAACAGGAACTATGTCTGTTTTGTTGAACACTGTATGCTCAGCATCTGGGCTAGTGTTGACACATGGATGATTTTCTGAATGCCTTGGATAAATGAATAAGGCTCAGTGGTGGTAACTTCACTGGTTACAAATCTAAGAGGTGGTAGACCTGAGGCCCAAACTGGGTACTTTGCTGAGCATTACACAACTTATCTGTATGCCACAGATATGTGGCCACTAGAAAATTTACGTTGGCTTGAAGACTGCTGTTTTAAGGTCAGAATAATGGGACAGGAAGTGTTTGAGGGATGACCAAGCACAACTCTAGGCCTAAAGGGTGGAGAAGTTTCTTCAAGGACGAGGCCCTATTTTCAAAGCTGTGGCTGGACTGGACAACCTTTAAAATTCCCCATAGATTTACATTCTAAGGTTTTTAACTTACTATCTAGCTAAAAGACAAAGTGTTTGCTCCAGCACTAAGAACTAATTGAGCTTATTAGCTTACTAAATCAAAATAATTTTAAAATATTGGAAATAAAATATTCATCCAGTACCTGAAGACCCTGTGGAACAGTCATCTCAAACTTTGCACTGTAGGATATACAAAGAGCCACATTCAAAATGGAGGAGAACTGGAAGATCTCTTCTGCCTTATTTATCATGGTCTTATTCTCTTCTTTTTGCAAAATCAACTAGCATGGAATTAATAACTAGTACCAGGGGGAGGGAATAGGAGGTGAGAGATGAACAGGAAATGCAGACAGAATTTACGATGCACACATCCTGATTTTAGCTAAAATGTGTTCCCCCCAAGAAAGTCCACGAATTGAAAAAACAAAACATGTTAATTAAATATAAAATCTTCAAGCAGTATTATTCAAAAGCCTACATATGGTTGTCCCCAGGAGATTGTTGGGCAGAACTGAAAGACAGTGGGAACAACAGAGAGAAGTTTCACATAAATTACGATTTTGAGCAGGGTTTCTTTGAAGCATGTAAAATATTTGCATTGGTTTATTAAAAAATTATTCACCTGGGGTGCCCGGGTGGCTCAGTCAGTTAAGCGTCCAACTTCGGCTCAGGTCATGATCTCACTGTTGGTGAGTTCAAGCCCTGCGTTGGGCTCTGTGCTGCTGGTGCAGACCCTTGAACCTCCTTCGGATCCTGTGTCTCCCTCTCTCTGTCCCCAGCTCGCTCTCTCCAAAGTAAATAAACATTTTTAAAAAAAGGCAAAAAAAAATTCACATCATGCAAGTGCTTTGATAGTGTGAACTTTTCTGGTAAACACTGAAGTAGGATCTAATGTCTACTTTAGCTATTCATCTTCTGGGAAAAAAAAAATTAGGGCTGTGCCCCATCAGCTTTTAAATGAAAATATATACATGCAGCCAATCTGATTAATAGTTACTCAGTCATCCCTTTGACTGGATCACTGATTCAGAAATTCAGATGTGAACATTAGGGTGTATTTCATATGGTTCTCACCACTTAATTATGTTCCATGACAGTCCTGCCCGAGTACCCACCGATAGGGTTAAAGTGACAACCAAAAGCAAAACCCCCTTGTCCACAGTCAACATTTCACGACTCCCTCAAGGATCTCAAAACATATTCCAAGATATCACTACGAGAATCACGAGCAGGAAAAAGACACTGAGCATATTTATATGCCTAATTAAGAGAAGGTATGAAAGAGAAATTATGGGGCCCTGATACTCTGTTGACCCTTCTTGTGAGCCCTCATTAATCCCAGAGCCAGATGCATCCTCAGAATCTATCTAAACACATTTCTTCAAAAGGGCACTCTGGACAATTAGGAACAGAACTTTAGAATTCTTTGCTTCCATCACTTAGGGCTGGATATTTCCAGCCTTGGGTATCTCCCATAGCTATTGTACCCTGGCTGCACTGAGCTAATCACCTCTGCTTGAGTGTGCCAAGCAAGTTCAAGCATTTGTGCCTTTGTTTATTCCGTTCCCTCCACCTGGAAGTATCTTTTATCTACTCTTCTACCTGTGGAAATCTTATTTATTCTTTGTGGCTCTACACAACAATTGCCATTTTTGTGAGGCATGCCCCATTGGTGACTTCTAACCAAAAACAATAGTTTATAATTGTTTATTTTAGGAACTCCAGCTGAAAGGGCCTGAAGAATGTAAAAAAAAAAAAAAACACAAAAACTTGTAGCCAATAATGATAACCATCATCATATAGAACATTTATATATAAAAGAAATATTTCAGCCCAAACACAAAGCTAAAGAGGGAAACAGTGATTTGTGAACTGGAATTCTTCTCCCCCATTTCTTTCTCAAAGCTATAGCCTCTACTATAAAGTGAGTCAATATATAAAAGTTTAGTGGAAACCTGAATTCCTACTCTAAAATGTTTACCAAGGATAGAAATTGAATCGTAATACTATTTTGTCCTGAGCCACAGTAACTTCTATCAAGGCAAAACCCTCTTCACAAAAATTATTTTTGGAGTTAGCAAATATTCTAGTTCAATAGGTCCCAGGCTGGGCTGGTACCCAGAATCATAAGGGGAATTTTCAAGATTCATATGGGCCTGTGAAAGAGAATCTTTGGGGAGTGAGCCCCAAGCTCCCCCTAGGTGAACTGAAGAACCACCAGGCTATCTTCACTGATCATTTTTATAATTAACTGTCTGAGCTGGGGATATTAGCAATGTTCCTCACAAGTATATGTCAAGGAACAGAAATATCTGGACACACAATGTTTGAATTCCATTGAAGCAGGGACAGTATTGGCTGTCAGTACACTCATTTTGCTCATTTGGCATTGTAGTTACAGGAGAAAAGGGACTGCTAAAAATGTCAACAAATTTCTGCAAAGCAAAATACTGACTTGTCTTAGCTGAAATACCTCATGGGTGTCTTCAGCTTAAACAAGAAAAGATTGGGGACAAAACTTTGTTAAAATTCCATTTGATTTATCCAGCCATGAACCATTTTGTTTTAAATGTGAATTGCCAAAACAGCTTAGTTTTTGAGACCTCTGTTACACAATGACCTCATCTTCTTATATTAGGAAAGAACTTGGATTGGTTCAGAAGTATAAAATTATAATAATAGTGTCTTTAAAAATTAAAGTCCCTGAAGGTCTAATACACCGCTGGTTTGGGGCTACCAATTCATACCATAAATTAAGATTCCAATTGAGCAGACTGCATTAACTGGATGTTTTTTGACAATTCTCTAAGTGCTACTCTACGGGCAATCCATACATATCTGGTAATTACCTGTTAGTCTCCTGTTAATATGTTCTATTTATGCATGCCCCAGTGGGGAACCAAGGGACACTGAGGATACAAATGAATGAACCAACTCCAACCCTAGTAAGTAGATAATAGGAAGCATGCATTGGACCCTCAAGCACTACATGAAGTTCAACACAGCCTTATCCATCGTGTGGCTGGCAAGCATAAGGACACCTATATGCACTGAAAAATCTCCTAGCTGTGCTCTTTGAGAAAGCTTAGAGACAACAATTAAAATACAGAGCCCAACCAAGCAAAGGTAGACTTCCACCATCCCGGTCATGAGTTCATCTGTTTTTTTGGTTTTTTTTGGGGGGTTTTTTTTTTTTTTTTTTTTGCTTAAGCTATATTTGACAGTTCACAGGGAATTTAAAACTCATGGCTCTGCTAGGCATGGGAAATACAACATGAAAATTTGTTGGGTTTCCCAGCTAAGCACTGACAGCTTACAACGTGCCTTATTTTTGGCGTGAAGAAGTTGCAATGCTCACGTGCAGCTGGGCAGCTGAGAGAATCTGGCTCACTTTTCACATTTTCTCTGCAGCTACAGCTGGTACAGATGACATGGAAAAGGTGAGAATTTCTTGGAGCAGGTTGTCTTTTCCAAAAATGGCCACATTAATATTCCAGTCCCACACCTTCCTGCAGAACCTGCGTAGAGAGAGAAGTACAATCTAATTTTCCTCTCCTTGGACCTGGGTGATGCTTTGTGACCCACCCCCACCTCCGCCGCGGACAAGAATATGGAGAAGTGATGGTGTAGGGTTTCTAAGGTTAGGTCATAGAAGCTGATATAGCTTCCACCTGGCTCTGTTTTGGGACACTTACCTTGGAGAGACAAATGACCCCCATTGAACTGCAGTCCCAGCCAACAGCCAGCATCCCCTGCCAACACAGGCATGCCCCTTCAGAGAATTCTACTCGGAGCCTTCCAGTCACCCCACCTGATGCCAAAGAGAAGAGACACAATGTGCCCACCATGCCCCACCAAAATTGCAAACCTGTGAGCAAAATAAATATCGTCATTAGCTTAAGCGACTGTTTTGGGGTGACTTGTTCTGCAGCAAATTGAATGCTTATCTTCTGTGAATAGTTTAAGTCACTTCTCACCAGGAAAACAACAGTCATTTATCAGGGATTCACATATTGTGATATGGGACTTGGAATACGGTCTTATATCCACGATATGGTCACATCTGGCCAGAATCATGTGAAAGCCATGCTTGGTCACTTGGGCACTGTAAATTCTTTCTTTAAAGGTTATAAAATACATATTTCTAAAAATGCACATCTTACAGATTTTAAGTAAAAAAGAAAAAGGAATGTCCCTCATCTTTCAGACCCTTCTCCACACACTCCCCTGAGCACATCTTCGACTCTTCCCCTGTAGGTCATGAGCTTCTTTTTATTATGCTGTCAAAGCAAACCTAATGATGATCAAGATAGGAACATGATGATGGTGGCCAGTTTCTATGTGCCAGGCACTGCAGAACTTGGGGAGCTTGAAATTGGCTATGGTGGGAGTATTTAGAGCATAGGCATTGCAAAATATGAAACATCAGAGCTTTTGGTTCAAAAAAACCAGTTGTTAAATTTACCATCAGGGGGGCGCCTGGGTGGCTCAGTCGGTTAAGCGTCCGATTTCGGCTCAGGTCACGATCTCACTGTCCGTGGGTTCGAGCCCCGCATCGGGCTCTGTGCTTACTGCTCACAGCCTGGAGCCTGTTTCAGATTCTGTGTCTCCCTCTCTCTCTGACCCCCCCCCCCCCCCCGTTCATGCTCTGTCTCTCCCTGTCTCAAAAATAAATAAAACGTTAAAAAAAAAAATTTACCATCAGGGACCATGTTTCTCTCTGCTAATTAATACATCTCTAGCACCTAGGACAGTGTCCAGCACATGGAAGGCTCTCAATATGTGTTTGCTGACTGAATGAATGAATGTTCTAAGTGCAGGCTCAGACAATATTCCTGCTGATGCACTTCTAAAATGAACGTGACCTACCAGTTTTATGAATGAGCATGCTTCTAAAATGCAACTTCTGATTATTCATTGTTTTCAGGCATTTCCCTATTTGGATAATTGGATTACTCTCTCTGTGGGTCAACAGAGCCAGGGACGTAGCTGAAGCATGCAATTCACAGGGACGCACAGTGCCCCAATAGTCAACTTGTCATGGCAAAAATTAATTCAAACTCCCTAACCAAAAAGTATCATCCTTTTCATCTCTTTTACCAGCTTTTGTCATACTCCAATGTTTTTTTTTTAGGAGTGATCTAGTCAAGAAAAAAAAATTAAAAAGAACACATACAGAAGTACACGTGCACTGCGGGTATATGTGCATGTGCACATGTAGCATGTAGACCTTTTGGGATGGGTCTACATACATATTAAAGATCTTCTTTAAACAGAAATGGTGGGAGGATTGGTGAGAGATGGGGAAGAATGTGTGAATAATGAAATATAAAAACGAGAGCAATCCAGGCCTTGTCTGTCAGAGGAAGGAAATCAGATCTGCAAAATGGTTGCCTCCAAAGTTAACTACTCAGATAAACAGAAGCAACATATGCACTTGAGGCATAAAAGACCCAAGGCAATGTGGGAATGATCAGGTGGGGACAAAGGCTTTCCCCAAGAGCAACACCATGGACATTATTTAACCATCATTATCCGCTCCAGGTCTCGGGTCACTGACAATAATTATGACTTGTAGAATGACAGACGTCTACATGGCACTTCCCCAAATTCCATCTCCGCTTGAAATGCAAATGCTTTCCAAAGGAGATTTATATTTTCAATTAACCTTCTTGTCGGTTCCAAGAAAATCTTTGGGGGCAGGCTGGACATGAAGGATTGTGGTATTGGTACTGGTTTACTCACCAATTACTCTTTAACGCCGATGCGTGCCAGTGACGGGCTAACAAATGGACATCTCCTTGAATTCTTTTTTTCCTTCCTTTTTTAAAAAAATTCCAGGAAATATTAGGAATCTCAGTTCTGTTTCTATGAAAAAAACTAAGGGCATTATAAAAAATGTTGTGGCTTTGGTGAGTCATACATCACTACTGGAAAGCAGATATTCTGTTCCTTGCTTTTGAGACCTATCGATAATTTCCACCACTGAAAACACAGCCATCTTGTAGCATTTCCAAAAGAAAGGACCCTGGAAAAATTCACACAAGTCAGGAGAAATCTTTATATTCCCCCTGTAGAAATCAAAGAGAATGAGATTAAGGGAATGTCTAAGAACATTTCTTGCATGACAAAGCCTTTTCAGATCAGCAAAATAAATTAACTTACCAAGAAATCTTAAATGAAAGAGTAGAAAAATCAAAGCAGGGCACAATGCATGAGTCCAAGGATGAGTCAATATTAGAAAAACCTATTAGTATAATTCACTCATCTACAAGTCAAAAGAGAAAAAACAACTTCTCCTCCTCCTCCTCCTTTTCCCCTTGCCTTCCCAAATAGTTCAGCCCAAAAACTATTAGCTGAGTCTCAGAAGTGGGAGTGTGTTGGGAAGTGAGTGGTGTGAGGCAAGTGTGCACAGGGGAAGGACAGCGGTGATGGATAGACGATTGGTTTTACCCAAGGGTTTGATCACACAGGTAACTATCTTAAGGATATGAGAGGGCAGTTTTTTTTTTTTTTTTTTTTTTTTTTTTTTTTTTT